AAGGTCCTGCCCTGTGCTATAATAATAACGTTTGTGTACTACCATATTGCATTTTTTTTGCTTGCCACAATTAAGCTGTGGAACCATAGTATCTTTGTCGATGATGCTATAATTCTACTCGTAGGACAATCTTTTTTGACATTCCAAAAGCGTCGAACATGAAAAATAAACTAAGCCTAGCGAGTTCGTGAGAAGATCAATGGTTGTCAAATAGAGGAGACTTTGGAGTTTGGAGGAAGTAGGGCAGCCAGTGGAGAGGGACGTAGATATCATTAATCACGGACGTATTGAGGATGATTAGTGATATCAACAATGGAGGAGAACAAAAATGAGGTGACTAATAAGAAATAATGACAATCAAGGTATCTTCAGTGGGCAATAGAGTCGTTGGCTTGGTGGGAGTGGGCAAGGATGGAAACACAATCGGTGACATGCAAAAGAAAAGATGTGCTAAAGCGAACGGAGGTTGAAAAAAAGAGGATGTCAATTGGATTCTGATCAAATGGCTAATGTAGGTACTAAAAATAAATGGATAAAAATGTTTTCTATAATATGGTTAGACTTGGCTACGTTTTACCTTTGATATAATTGTCACAAAACATCATATAATATATTTAGCGAGATAGCTACGTCTACATCACACCTTTTCTTTGAGATTATAATTTCTACAAGCACGAGTTTTAACACATGCCCCCAACCCAAACACATCCAAAGATGGCAATATATGATCTCCAATGACATTAAAAGGACCAACTAACAGCACTGTTCTGTTCGGTGGTTCGTTTCGTTGCTGGTTCGTGAAGAAGTACTGCTGGCTGGTTTGTGTGAGAGAAAAATACTTTTCGGCTGAAAATTTACGATCGTTTACGACAAGCCATATCAAACGAACAGGCTGTAAGTTAGTGAAAAGAGAACACAACATGAAATTGGGTGATGAGAACTAAACAACTCAGGAGACTTTACAGCACATGTGTGTATCTTGGCATGTGAAACAATGCACACATCAGTTTAGTCATGGCTTACCAAATGATTACACGCCAGATCATTCTTCCTCAAGGTGGCCTTCATCATTGGGGCTGAGTTGGAGCATGCATGTGAGACACAACTGGATCCTTTGGGTATGGACATTGGAAGGTTGTGCTGAGTTGTATACATGACTACTGTATACAGGAACCCTTTATCTATTCCACATGGAAGATTGTACAGCATGTTGAGCAGTATTTGAAATAATACCATGTGCTGTGTCTTACCTATAAAGCTGAGTGCAGGATTAGCTAGCTAGCCAATCATTGTTTGCTAGCAGCTACGTCACGGCAAGGCTGGTGACGAGCGGCTGGTTGACCAGCTACGTCACTGCAAGGCTTATAAGCTATATTTTTTTTTTTGCCAATGGACTATATTTTTCTTTCACAACAAATCAGTCAACAGTATTTTTAGCCATGGCTTATCAGCCAAACGAATAGGGCATCTCACACGGGCCGGGGCAATTGTTGTTTTTGGTCGTGTTGGTGTTGCATTGACAGCCAGTTGCACTTGCACGCGATCTGAACCGTCCTTTTATTTACAAACTAAGTGACCAAAATAGTTTGCTGCTGAGGATGTATTTTACTGTAACTAGAGAAGTTTACAAAATAAAGCACCACCTTAGCTTACAAGTGTTCTAGTTTTGGCCTCATTTCAAAAATAGCATCTCTAGATTAACCCTTTTATACGAAATAAGAATAGAAATATAAGGTAGTATGTGTATGTGAGCCTGCTTCACATGAAGAGCTAGGCTGAGGAAGACATTGAACGAGGCGTGTCACTTTCCATAGACAGGGTGACACGCCTCCCATGTCTCCTCTAACATAATACCATTAGCAACAGTCTCGGTTTTCACTGTTTGATTACTAATATTTTTTGCAAAAACTGAGCCGATTCAACTAGTGCATTGGGAAAGCTCGGCCTATTATTTTAGACCCACAACATCAACTCTTAGTTTATTTGAGACGGTTTTGCTTCACCTTTTTCAACTCCGCTCTCAAATTCTCTGCTAGCCAAACAAAGACAGCTCCATAAGTTTTGCTCTAGAAAAAAAAGGTAGAGTTAAGAAGCAAATTTAGAGCGTGTTTGGTTACTTAGCTCCCACCATCCCTCCATGCGCTCAGTCGTATACGCTCCAAGAGAAGCCTGTTTGGATCCCTGTTTCCACAGTTCCAACCCCTGCTCTGCCTGCAATATATGGTGGTCAGCCCAAATCGAACTCATACAAGATGTATCCGCTCATGCTGGTAACCAAACAACTTTCAAACTTTTCCTCATGGGTCATACAAGGTGTATCCGCTCATGCAGATAACCAAACAACTTTCGGACTTTTTGCAACCGCTCATGCAACATGACCAAACATCCTTCTTCTCTAAAGTATGGTTCCACTTAGCATGCATCCCCTCATCCAGGATATACGATGCAAGCCCCATTTGGCAAACAACACACCCTTAGGTGTTATGTGGAGCACCTAAAGACATACTCCAGAAACTCTAGAATTCTTATAGAGTTATTACATTGTGAAGTTAGTGGAACAAAACTGATTTTAGTAGAGTGATGAGCAGTCTCAAACAGGCCCTAAGTTAGACCAGGGCTACAGGTTGTGCCTAAAACCTGATCTAAGACGAAACCAGCCCAACACGGAAGATATGAGTGGCCTGGCCCGGAACCTTCACCCTGCGGCCTGGCTTTTATTTCACAGTCCAGTTTCCTTTTCCTGCTGTGCGACCGAGTTCCCAATCCCCAAACTACTTCTTTGTCAAAAAAAAAACTCCAAGCTATTTGTATTTTTTTCGTGAATATTCTTTTTTTTTGTGTGTGTGTGTGTGTGCAATTATGTATCGTGCTCGTGCAGCGACCGGACTCTTGTGTTGCACTATCTCCTACAACTAAAAAGAACAAAGTGTGGATATTTTTTGGTGCAACATTTGTTTTGGTTCGTCCGCCTACCCACGCCTGCGATCCCACAACATCTTAATTACTAATTGATCGTGTCATTCTCCTTGATTGAATATTGCCTGTCATGTGATAGAGGAATCACGACAAAATAGGAAGTAGAAAATTATTGTGCTATCCATATACACATTGTAAGTTTGCATGCACCAGCATACATGGCAACGAGCAAAAGGAAAGAGAATTAACACAGAAGGAAAGAGAATTAAGACAAAATGAACCTTTTTGCATTTTCTGAGAATCTTGCCAAATCTACCTCTACATTTAATTACTTTCCCTCTTTGCATTTGCAAAAGGGACAGCTTTTTTCTCCTTTCATTTGGTTTCACGCTCACGTGTTCTATCACCCTCGCTTTGTTTCTTGCGTGAACCATAGTTGATGTCATCTGTCTTCCATGGCTCAGTCTCCCAATCCCAAGAGAAGGTCCCTACCTCTCTCTGACTGGAGATCTGGCCTGCCAGAGGATCTCCTCGAGTCCATCGGGCGGCGTCTCGCGTCAGGCCACGACGCGGCGTCCTTTCGATCCGCTTGCTCCCCATGGCGCGCCGCCGTCCCGTTCGTGACCTTCGGATCGCTCCTGCTGCTCCCGTTCGACCCCGACTCGGACCGCGTCGGCTTCTACTACGTCCTAGAGAAGAAGGTCTTGTCCAAGACGCTGCCCGACGTGCGCGGCAAGGTGGCGTGCGGCTCCTCGTGTGGGGTGGCTGGCGCTCATGGACGAGGCGGCGTCCGTGACGCTACTGAATCCATTCGCCGATGCCCGTGCCCCCCGCGTTGAGCTCCCGCCAGCAGGCGAACATGTCGTGGCGGCGTCCTCATCGGAACGCGTGTCTAGGGTCCACGGCGGTGGGTCCTCCATCTCACCAACGGCTAGGGGGACACGGATGCCGCAGGCAGAGCCATCAAGCTAGAAGACATGATGGACGTGTTCTTCCGTGAGATCGTGCTCTCGGCGTCGCCTGACGTCGCCGGCCGCGAGTGCGTGGCCATGGCCATGCTTGGGTGCTCCATGGATGTCGCGTTCTACCGGGTTGGAGTCGACAGCGCATGGACGCTGCTCGACACCAAACTGGAGTTCTCCGTAGGGTCCATCGTCAACTGTCAAGACAAGTTCTTGGCGATCGACTGCACTAGAGAAATCTTCGTATGCAGCAGCAACGCCGTCGGCGCTACTCCAACCACGACGTTGCTGCCATCGCTGTCGCCACCTGCGGGGCTCTGCCACCGCAGCTACCTGAAATCAAACGGTGAGCTGCACGTTGTGGGTGCCATGGTGAGCACGTTCCACGAGACATAGAGCTTCACCTACAGCAGCACGATCTACAAGTGCAACCTGCACAACCGTACGCCGGAGTGGTCTAGGGTGAGGGACATCGGTGATCAGACACTGTTCGTGTCTAAACATTTCAACGAAAGCTTCAGTGGAACAAGTGTATCCATATACAAGGAGAACAAAATCTACATGTCTGAGCCATTGTATGGGGATCCATACGACTTGGTCCATCGACTGGAGATCGTTGATATTGCTACCGGCGCATCCGAAGTGAAGCCCGTCCAAGAAAAGATGCAGGGTTACGAGGCTCTAGGTTGGATTCGACCCAATCTCTGAAAGCTCTAGAGTTTGTGAGCCTGCGACGTCGCGCACTCCGTGGCTGTGTTAAATTCATAAATTTTGTTTTTTTGATTAAATATCACTTTAACGTTGGTATTTAATTTAACAGTATTGTTATCTTATTGTACGATCCGTATGTTTTTAGTATAAATTATTAGTTATCCTGTAGAAATGCACGGACACGCTAGCCAGGATATACGTGTGCTTATCGTGCATCAACCGGAATGTTCCCTCGGTTCGGCAGAGATCCAACAAGAACAACTAACCTAGTATTTCTTCGATCCATCCATACATGCTGCCATGCCATTGCTCATCTCATTTTAAATGGAGATCTGAACAAGACGATTGAAGAAGAACCTTCACTTGGTTGGCTTGTCTTACTGTTGCGACGATCTAAACCAAACACCGGCAATGGCGGATCATCAGCAGTCGTCGGAAGCGGTGGCGAAGGCCGCGGCGGCGGCCTCGTATTCGCGGAAGCAGATCGCCGACAGCATGGCCTTCATCGACGAGATCCTGCCGGAGCTCGCGGCGGCCCCGGACGTCCGCCACGAGTTCTTGAGGCTCCTCTCTGGATTGGGAAAGGACGGCGGCGACGCCGACGCCGTCGGCTCCCGTGCTGCGGAACTCCTCCGTGGACACCCCGACGTGCTCCGCCGGTTCATCGCGCATGTCCACGCGGACGCGCCGCAGCCGCAGGAAGATCGAAAGGAGGGACACCCAGCAGACCCCGGCGGCGGCATCGGAAGCGCCGCCAAACGTCGCCGCAGCAGCACGAAGCCACCATGGGGACGACGGCCTCCGGTTGGCCGACGACGCCGCGCAGGCGTTAACGTTCGTCAAGCGCGTGCACGAAACCGCGGGCCCCGTGGTCCATGCCAGGTTCATGGCCGTGCTGTCCGAGGCGAAGGGCAGCGAGGACATGGCCGCCGCCGAGATCTACGACAGGGCCAAGCAAGCGTTCGGCCCGGCGCACGTCGGCCTGCTCCACGCGTTCGCCACCGTGTGGCTCCGGGGGAGGCGGAGTGGAAGCTGCAACAACAAGCGCGTGGACCTGCGGCACGGCAGCGTAGTCGCGCGGCGGCGGCCTCCTCGCACGCCGCGGCCGGCATGCCCGGTGCTAAGAAGCCTCGCGCCGACGACGATGGCAACAACGGCCGACGACACGAGCCTGCCATTGCCCCCGGACGGCAGCGCAACCGCGCGGCGGCCTCCTCGCACGCCGCGGCCGCCGGCATGCCCGATGCTAAGAAACCTCGTGCCGACGGTGGCAACAACGGCCGGCAACACGACCATGTCATCGCCGTGCTCGAGGTGAGAAACGTCCAGAAGCGCCGCAGCGACGACGATGGCACCGCCCGCGGACGCCACGCGCGCCACCGCATCGGTGAAAGCTCAGGCGGCGGAGCAGCGGAGCAGGGCTGTGACGATGACTACGACTACGCGCCGCAGACCAGAGCCAAGAAGCCCCACAGTGGCAACGGCGAGTTGTCGGGCAGCTTGGCCGCGGCGCAGGTCCTCGGCGCCGACGCCTCCGGCGTCCACCACGCGTACAGCGGCGACAACAAGAAGCCACCACGCCGGCGCGCCGCCAGCGGTGGTAAAAGCTCCAGCGCGGGGGCGGGGGCGGGGCGGGGCCGAAGCAGCAGCTGGAGCGGGACGACGAGGTCCGGCGGTTCCGGCAGGAGTGGGAGTTCCAGACCTACTACTCGAAGCTGGTGTCCACGAGCGATCGTGTCACGGAGCTGCTGCGTCCTACTCGTACCCCGCATGGCGACGGCGGCGGCGGCAACCGTTCGCTGGAGGAGCTGTTCCCTCTCCCCGAGTGCCGGGAGTTCCCACAACTACTACGGCGACCGTTGGGGCGAGATGAGGGCGGCGCTGGAGCGCGGCGAGAGCCGCGTCCCGGCGCTCGAGGCGATATAGCGCAGACTGACGACGAAGGAAGAGGAGGCCGTCGCCGAGGAATCGCGGAAGCGGTGCCGGCACGACCCCGCCCGTGTTGCCCAGAGGCTCCACGAGCTCGCCATGGACTACACGCTGGACTAGGAGTGCCGGCGGCAGCACGGTGGCAGTGCATGAACGGCACGCGTCGCGTGTTATGGCTGGCAAAAATTTATAGAGCTAACTACAGCTGTTTTGATCGTGTCATACATAGAAGTGCTACTATTTTGACACTTTACTATTACAAAAACTACAACTTCATCAACAAAACTATGAGAAAGTTGCAATTTTGTGGTAGCAAGCAGTGCTGAAAATAGTTTTAGTTTTGTGAGACGTCTTGTTAAAATAGTTGTAGCTCAGTGGGGATTACGTCAGCTGTATAGTGAGAAATTTAGTAAAATATATTCATTTTATCTGTTCGGCTGATGATTTCTGCGGTCGGCTGATACTGACTTGTTGTGAGAGAAAAATACTATACCATAGCTGATAAGCCGGGCTGATAAGTTCAAGCAAACAGGGCTTTTTTTCCTGTTTGCTCTATATTTTCCCGGTGGCAGCACCACAGCCTGGAACTGGAAGTAGGATTTTGCTTTTCCAAACTGTAAGGCAGTAATAATATATGCTGTTATTTTAGGAGAAGAGAAACACTGTCCAAGAGCCGAAAATATAACTGATCCTAGCAAAAAAGAAGAAAAGGGGCTACCACATTTGTTCATCCATATCTTGAAGTAACACATCTGAGATAAAATCAAACAAGGCCTTAGGGTCTAGTTGGATCTCATTCTCATAGTGAGAATCTAGATTTTTGATAGTGAATGTAGAATATGTATCTCATTTTGATAGTGATGATTATTATTTTTGTATAGTTAAAATCTTCAAATAGTAGGTTTGAGATAGGTAGCTGGATTTCATCCAAAAAAAGATAGGTAGCTGGATTCTCAAATCATCTAAATGACTAGGCCTTGCTTACTCTCATTTCTGCACCTTATTCTCATTTTTCTTAGGTGATGTAAACATGGCCTTATATAATATTATTTGGCATCGGTTATTGCAGAGACTCCTAAATCGATTTGCCACTTTAAAACATTTCATGTTTAGGTTTAATTACATATTACTATGACGTTAACAGCCAATATTATGCATTAAAAAGTAACAGAATCTTTTTATATGTAACTGACCACTGACCCTCAAAAACTGTTGAGTTGGCGAGGATCATTGGTTGTTGTGCTCTGCTTTTATCAGGTCATGGTCATGGCCTCATTGGCATGAGATTTGGGGGTACATAGGTCTGAATATCGGAAATCATCTGAACCAGTGGTGTAGCTGGCCCAATAAAACCTGATGGGCCCGGAATAGCAGAGCAAAGGAACTGTTGATTGATGTGGGGGGCAAAGAGGCCATTTGCTCTACCTGCACACTCAAGTCCTTCATTGAGGCGGTTATGGAGATCTTCAACACGCTTGGCCATCTGCCAGTAGAAGTGTCGCGCCTCACATGTTGCAAGCGTAAAGTGTTTCAGATGTTCAAAAGATATGTTGCTAGTGTTTCATATGGATGCTACAAAAATAGATCGGGATATTGCAAAGTGTTCCGGAAGGCATGTTGTAAGTTTTTCAGACACTACGGGGAATGGGAGCTTTGCCGTGTGCCTACGGCACACGGCAAATAAACTAAAAGACTCGGCAAACCCTTCGCCGAATGTAACACTCGGCAAAGGGCACACGGCAAAAATTTATCGGCAAACTCACTTTACCGAGTGTTTTTCGTCGGACACTCGACAAACATTTTTTGCAAGAAATAAAAAAAAACAAATTGCCACCGGCCGCCGCCCACCACGGCCACCATGCCGCCACCGGCCGCCGGCCACCACGCCGCCACGCCCTCTGCCCCACGCTGGACGCCGCCACGCCACACGCGCCCACCACGGCCACCACGCCGGACGCCGCCCGCCACCACGCCGCACGCCACCCGCCGGATCCGGGAGAGGGGAGGGTCGACCGCCAGGACGCCGCCGGATCCGGGAGGGGAGGGGCCGTCGCCGGATCTGGGGAAGGAGTGGAGGGGCCGGCGCCAGGGAGAAGGGGAGGGGGCAGCGGCCGAGGGAAGGAGGGGTGGCCGGGCTGTCGGAATCCGGCCGGGAGGGGAGGGGCCGCCGGCGGGGAGAAGGGAGGGGGAGGGGGGCGGGCGTGGAGAAGAGGAGGGGGCGTGCGGACGTGGCGCGGGGGAGAAGGGGAGGGGGCGGCGGCGGGGGGAAGGAGGGGTGGCCATTGGCCAGCCACCGGATCCGGCCGAGAGAGGGAGGGCCGGGGAAGAAGAAGGGGAGGGAGGTCCGGGGAAGAAGAAGGGGAGGGAGGGCTGGATCCGGCCGGGAGAGGGAGGGCTGGGGAAGAAGAAGGGGAGGGAGCCCGGGAAGAAGAAGGGAGGGGAGGGACGCCGGCCACCGGTGGCGGCAGGGAGAGGCTCTGGTCCGGGAGGGGAGGGCCGGGGAAGAAGATGGGGAGGGAGGGCTGGATCCGACCCTGGGAGGGAGCGCCGGGGAAGAAGAAGGGAGGGGAGGGGCGCCGGCGGGGGCCGGTAGGCGGTGGCGGCAGGGAGAGGCTCGGGTCCGGGACGGGAGGGGCACTGGGGAGGGGAGTGGTGCTCGGGAGCGGACGGGAGGGGCGCTGGGGAGGGGAGAGGGGCGGGCTGCTCGCGAGGGGAGGGGCGCTGGGGGATAAGTACGGGATTTTTTTTCGTTTGCCGAGTGTCTTGGATCTGGGCACTTGGCAAACTTTTTTTTTATTTTTTTTCTTCTCCTTCTATTTTAGAAAAAGATTTTTTCGTTTGCCGAGTGTCCTAGATCTGGGCACTCGGGAAATTTTTTTTTTTTTTTTTTTTTTCTTCTCCTTCTATTTTAGAAAAAAGTTTTTTTTGTTTGCCGAGTGTCCTAGATCTGGGCACTCGGCAAACTTTTTTTTTATTTTTTTCTTCTCCTTCTATTTCATAACAAAGATTTTATTTCTTTCGCCGAGTGCAAAAAAGAAAACACTCGGCAAACCCCCTCTTTGCCGAGTGTTTTTTTTTGACACTCGGCAAACCCCCATTTTGCCGAGTGGTTTTTTTGCCGAGTGTTTTCAGCGCAGCACTCGGCAAAGAACTTATTCGCCGAGTGCCCGAATTAATACACTCGGCAAATATAAAAACACTCGGCAAATTTGACGTTTCCGGTAGTGAGAGGCATGTTGCAAGAGTTTGTTCAAAATATTTTATCTGATTTAGACATGTGTTGCAAGCGTTTTTGCTATAGATGTTGCATATGTTTCACACATATGTTCCAAGAGTATGTTCAAAATATTTCAGGTGTTTCAGTCTTATGTTGCAATAAGTGTTTTCATGTTGCAAATTACAAATTACAAGTGTTTTATCTGAATGTTGCGTATGTTTTACTCACAGTTGTAAGGGTACGTTCTAATTATTTCATCTGCGCTTAGACGTATGTTGCATTCAAGTGTTTAATGTTGCAAGTGTTTCATGTTTCAGAGACACGTTCAGAGAGTCATTGGGGCACGGCCTGGGCGCCGTGGGAAGGGGTGGGGCGAGTCGGGGCTAGCGGATGGGGCGCGCGGCACGCCTAGGGTCATGTGGACGGGGTGTGCTCGTCCTTATCCCGGCTCCTGGGTCCTGCTCGCGTAGACGGAGAGGAGGGGTCAGGGGGAGGAGCGGCGGGTGCAGGACGGGGCGAGGCTAACGAGGGCTGGGTATGCGTGCAGGGCTGGACGAGGCAAACGGGGAAGGACTGCAGTAATACGATAGAAGTGTGGCGCCCCAGAACAGTAGAGCAAAGGAACTGTAGATTGATGTGGGGCCAAAGAGGCCATTTGCTCTACATGGGCACTCGATTCCTTCATGTGATCTCCTTGTTCATTTAAGGTAACAGACTAAAGATTTTCATACGCTCATCTCCTTGATGGATACGGTTGACAAACAAAGTCTTTGTGTACTGTGAAGACAAGAGTGAGTGAGGGCTTGCATTGTTCGGTTCATCCCCATAGAGTTTTGTATGGCCTCCATCCAACCTTTCATGGCAGTTACAATGGCTACAGTTCATTTTAGGTCATCACATTACGGAAAACCTGGGTCATATCTGACATTTCTCTGCCTGTGCAGATAAATAGTCTGATTTCTCCTGAGGGCCGAGGCGATGGAAATGTTCACAGGCAGCCTTTCCTTGCTTGCCGCCTTGCCGGACTTGCAGCTGACGAAACATACGTCACCAATCCTTAACGACGCACCATATGCATTCGTTGGCTACCTTTGTACGAAACGAATAACTCGACCGATGCAAACGCCCTGCCGTAGCACAACTTAATTTAGAACCTGAAGAGATATATGATTTGCACTAACCAAGTGTGTACCTTCAAAAGGTAACTCGGTTATGCTTTTGGCAAGATAAATGGTCAGATGGTCTGTTAAAAGATAAATTTTCTGAATTGTTCAGTTTTGTAAGAAAGCCAAAGTGCTCTATCAGATTTCAGTTAGAAAAAGATACTGCTGTGGCTTTTTTCCTCCCACTCTCACCGCAGGCTTCAGCTCAGCTTGAGGCAATACAGGCACTTTTTCAAGATTTCAATTGGGACATGAATTCTGAGGATCATTGGAAATATATCTGGGGCTCTACAACCTATATTTCCACAAAGGCATACATACTACTAATTGGACAGCAGCAGACTTCTCCCCTCTTCAAGTGGATGTGGACCTCTGGTAATCTTGGAAAACATAAATTTTTCTTCTGGCTTCTGCTAATGGATAGACTTAACACCAGGAATATGTTGATTAGAAAGAACAGACATCTGGATGACTATAATTGTGTTCTTTGCAATACCAACACAGAAGAAACATGTTTCCATCTGTTCTTCACCTGCCCCTTCAGTTCTGCTTGCTGGAACTCAATTAACATATCCTGGAACACTAATCTTGAGCCTCTAGATATGGTTTATCAAGCTAGAATTTCCTTTGGTAGTAAAATCTTCAGAGAGCTTGTGATTACTGCCTGTTGGGTCATATGGACCACAAGAAACGGAGTCATTTTTTCGATGGTAAAGCTCATAGCCTTCATCAGTGGAAACGTGCCTTCAAAGATGAACTTGGTCTGGCTTGTATCAAGTCCAAGAAGAAGATTAGGGATGTTCTTATTAGGTGGTGTGAGATTTTCCCCTAATGTATCCTCCTCTCTTTTCTTTGGGTTTTGATAGCCTTGTAAACCTTGTAAATATTGTACATTTTCACATTTATATAAAATACAAAAAATAGGTAGGGGACTCCCCTGCTGACTTTTCAAAAAAAAAAAGATATATGATTTGCAAGGCACGAATAAGTAATCCATCCATCGACTTTGCGTTGTGCTGCAGAGCTGATCGAGTGAGACTAGCTAGCCTGACTAGTGTAGAGAGTACTGGACTCTGGAGCGAGGTAACTAGGAACTAGGAATGTGTCGTCGTCGCAATTTGCTGGATTAATAGTTGCTTAGTTCCAGATGAGTTAATTGGTCACTGCATGCATGGTTTACTTGAAGATGAATAAACGTCTCTCGACGATAGAGACTACTAGTATATATATGGAATATAATATGGATGGCGCTGCATGCGTTTATTTATTTGCATGTGTGTGTTATTAGAAATAAATGGTGGAAGTGACCACTCGACCAAACAGATTAACTCCCTGTGAATCGAGGTCCTGTTCACTTCGCTAAAAAGCCAGTCTGGCCTGTCTCGACGACGATGAAGCAGCGACGTCGACCTGAAAGTAATGTACGTCGCCCCAACCCCATTGGCTGCTTCCATTCCTTGGCATCTGATCCCTTCCGATCCCATGACATGAAGGCCGAAAGTGCTCAAAGCCGCGCACCGACACGAAGCTCAGTTCTGTCAGTCTTATAAGTCTTAAAATTAAAGAATGCATGTGTGCTACTCTCCTCGTCTCAAAATACAAGTCAGTTGTAGGATTCGAAAAATTATCTCACATTAGTTGACGTTATAGCTCTGCGTATGTGTTTGATCATCCAAATGTCAGTTCCTATCGTCCACTTGCCTGAACATGAATTAAAAAGCAAATAACGATGTACCAATTCTCTGTGGAGAGCTGAATAAAAAAATGTTTCCCAGCCGGAGTGCTGCTCCCAAACTCCATGCTGCAAGATGTCACCGTCCTGCGAGATTCCCATATAGGGGTGACACTGTCTTTGTGCTTCGGCATTGGTTTATGTGAGAACTCTTACAACGTCATCTAATTAGGGACGAAGAGAGTATCTTCTTTGACCGAAAACGATGCCCGCACACTGGTAGTTTGTTTCCTCCGAAGTCCGAACGAAGTGATGGTTGTACTCTGGCTCTAAAAACCAAAGCAACTTTTTTTATTGCGAAGAGTGCGAGATAGAGCTTTTGAAATTTGAACGAACAATGATTTGATGCCTCGTCAGGTCTCGCTTTAATTCCCTGTCTATTCCCTATTGGTGGCAGATACTGTAGTTGGCAGGCTGCCAAGCATCGTGCCCTCCTTGCTAGAATTTGAGGAGGGTGCGGGAGGGGGGCACGTGCTCCCGCCTCCTATCTAGAAGACCAAAATATCTTATAATTTAGAAAATAGATGGAGTAACTATAAAACCAATAACTTATACAGTTTAAAATACCGATACATAGCAAAAGCTAGAACGACTTATAGTTTCTCCTAGATGAAGTAGAATATATGGGTAGATAAAAAGAAAATGTATTGAATAGGTTAGTGACGTTGTCACAATTTAAAATACCAATGCATAACAAAAGCTAGAACGATTTACAATTTCTTCTAGATGGAGTAGAGTATATGATTAGATAAAAAAAAGTCATGATAGGCTAGTGACGTCGATGGAGCTGTGGCCGCCGACAAGAACAATACCGGATCGCACCAACAACACTCAACCCGCCATGCGCCGTACGAGGAACGTCGGATTATCATCGACGTCCACTTCGTCCCTCTTCATTCACCCACCACAACGCCGGGGCGTAGGTGCGTAGCCACTGAAATCGAAAGTGAGGACCGACTGAGGATGATGGGAGGAAAGGGGAAGCGCAATACCAAAAGCGTAGGTGAGGCTTTCAAAAGGGAAAGTCCAAAAAGTTTCTAAGTCCAAAGAAATGTAGGTGAGGCGGCTGTGTCTCAGGGGGTGTTTGGTTTGGGGTGACTAACTTAGTCACCCCATTTTAGTTCATTTTAGTCGCTTTGGAGCCAAACAACATGACTAAAACTGACTAAAAGGTGTTTAGTCATCTACTCCCCAAGTCCTGTAATATAGTGCATTTTAGAAATTTTATGATGAATTAAGAGAGAACATAAAAAACACATGTATCCTCATTTTATTTCCTAAACTGACGCTACCATCAACCTAATTAGTGATGATTTGTTGATAAATAGAAAGTATTTAATGTAAAACTGGTTTTTGTTCTCTAGAATGTCTTATATTTGAGGATAAATTTTGAATGATAGAATGCACTATATTACAGGACGGAGGGAGTAGTCACAAGGGTGACTAAAGGAGACTAAAGGAACAAAAAAGACATCCCTGCCTCATTATTTTGGCAGCAGCAAAGATCCAAGATAATTAATAGAGACGTTTTGGTTTTCAACAGTTGTAGTCTATTTTAGTCACCTAAACCAAATATCTAGACTAAAGTTTAGTCTACTTTAGTCTAGAGACTAAGCAAAACCCAACAGCCCTTCAGTCAGTCTATTTGACTAAGGGCGCGTTTAGTTCCAAAATTTTTTGGTTTTTGTCCATCACATCGAATTTTTGGACGCATGCATGGAGCATTAAATATAGATGGAAAAAAAAAACTAATTGCACAGTTGGGTGAGAAATCGTGAGACAAAACTTTCGAACCTAATTAGTCCATAATTAGACACTAATTGCCAAATACAAACGAAAGTACTACAGTAGCCAAACCCATAATTTTTCGCGAACTAAACGTGCCCTGACAACTCGAACCTTTTGAATCTTCTATAGTACTTCTTAATAAATATCCAGCTACTGGGGTTGCCGGAAACAGGAACCCCCGAGCGGCAGCGGGAGGAGAAGAACCGAGACGCAGTCACGCAGGCGCCATCAGTGCCACCCCTTGCCTCAAGATGGCAACGGGTACGTACCCGATGGGTACTGGCCACCTGTACCCGCACCCGCCAGATCAAAATCTTACCCGTCGGGTTACCCGTACCCGCAGGCGGGTAGAAAATTCATTCCATACCCGCACCCGACGGGTAATTCTTACCCGACAATATACCCGAGTTCACACACCAAAATATAATAGCTTCCAGCAAAACAAATCAACAATAGAGCAGCAAAACAGAAATATGGGCTGGTGGAGTGGAGTGAGGATTAGGGTTTGAGAGAGTTCTAGAATATATATACTCATATGCTTATATGGGCCAAATATGGGTTATATGCTTATATGGGCTAAAATTGCAGAGGTGGGATATTATTTATGCGGGTTTTTTTTACCCGCGAGTATGCGGGTATGGGTAGTATACACCCACACCCGTACCCGCATACCCGATGGGTACAAGAATTCGTCCAATAACGTAACCGCGAGTGCAAAATGTCTTCCATACCCGCCTCCTTATGAGGTAAAACCCGTCGGGTACTCGGGTTTCGGGTACCCGTTGCCATCTTGACCCTTGCCTAACGAGCTCCTCCCCACCCCGACCCCCCGCCCACGCCATGCGTCCGGGCGACCCACGCCGCCGCCGCAGCGCAGCAGCAGCCGCCCCCGCTCCCTGAGCTGGAGCACGGGCGTCGCCACCACCCCGTGTCAACGCCGGGCAAGTCTGTCGTCGTCCTCGTCTCCCTCGTCACGCTGCTCATCGTCTTCGACTCCGCCGTGGAATGCTACGTCGGCCGGCATGCCGTCACTCACCATGGTGACCCGGAGCTCCCTGGCGACGGCGCCTCCGGCCGGCGAGCAGACTAGCCGGCAGCACCACCGCAGCCAGAAGCACCTAGTGCACTGGATCATCGTCTTCGTGGTGGGGTCCGTCGCCGGCGTCATCTCCGGGCTGGCGCTCAAATCCATCCTGAAGAAGATCAAGAAGCTGATCCGGCAGCGGTCGCTTGACGGCGTCATGGTCTTTAGCACGAAGCTGATCAGGCAGCCGGAGCAACTGGCGTTCCTGAAGAAATGGTGAAAGTGACCACTCGACCAAACAGATTGATTTCCTGAATCCAGTCGCGACGAAGCAGCGAGGTCGACCGGCCTGAAAGTAACGTACGTCTCCCCAATCTTCCATTCCTTGGCTTGGAAGAACCGCGTATCATATATGTATTATGTATATACATTCAGGTGCTATATATGATGCATTTCGAGTTTATATATAACCTGCAGGTACCCTGATAATTAAAAAAAGACTCCACCTTTTGAAAAAAACCGACATTTTTTTAAAAGGTCGATCACAGAGGTGTTTTCCTTCGTGACCAAAGCTAGACTTGATGTATATCTTTGGTGGAGTTTACTATCAGCTATACTTAATCTCTTTTGTCAGTCCTAAAAAGAGTTATGAAATATATCTAATAATGTCAAAACGTCTTATAGTTTAGAACATAGTTGAGAACATAGGGAGCACGAAATAGGAAAAATACTAGATTATTTCGATTTATGCATAAATTCGGTGTTTAGTAAAAGCCTCTAATTTGTAAGATTGTCCAAATTAAATGTAATTACCAAGCTTGAACCAAAGATTTAGTTCGAGTATAATACATTGCTATCCCACTACTACACAAATGATTTTGCGAAGCGGTGCCCTTTTATTAACCGAGACGGTGCCCTTTTATTAAGCGAGGCGGTCGTAAAAACCAACCGCATCGTAAAATCCCCGGCGATTAATGGAGGCGGTTGTTTTATTTACCGAGGCACAAAAAATAACCGTCTCGCAAAATCAATTAATCGAGGCGGGCCCTTTTAAGAGGTCCACCTAAAAAAATCAGGCCATTTTCAAAGGCGAGCCTCTTAAAATGGCCCGTGTCGGTTAAAATGGCCAAGCCCACTAACTGTTGGCGAAGACATATAAGCTCGGTTTTTGACTATGAGTATATATACCGAGGAAACCCTAGCCCACTCTTCCGGCCCCTCCCCTCTCCTAGCTGCACCCATTTCCCATTTCTCTAAGTCGCGCTCCTCTCCCACGGCGCCCCTCTACCCCACCGCTCACCCACGGCACCCCTCTCCCCCACGACGTGCCCCTCTCCCTAAGCGCGAGTGGCGGCGGTGCCTGGCGGCAGCTACCCCACAGCGCCCCTCTCTCCCACAGCTCCCCCACAACGGTGGCTCCCCCACAGCGGCGCCCCTCTCCCCCATGGCGCGTCCTTCTCCCTGAGTGTGACTGGCAGCGGCTACCCAGGCGGCCGGGAGTAGATCTGGTCGAGGAGCTCCTCCAGCGGCGCGGATCTAGACGAGACGGTCCTCCGGTGGCAGATATGGTTGAGGCGCTCTCTCTCCCTCTCCTTCGCGGTGGCGGTGCGGCGGTCCTGGCGAGGAGCAGCGGTCCGCGCGAGGAGATGCTCAAATCTGGCGAGCAGGTGCCCGGATCCGGCGAGCGGCTACGATGGCGTGCAGATCGGCGGCATCTGGATGGGCTTGGCTGGCCTGTGGATGGACTCGCTGGGCTTGTCCACGGGTTTTATTTTTTATTTTTTTATCTACCGAGGCGGGCATTTGAACCGCTTTGGAAAAGATCCGTTTACCATAACCTTTGAACCGAGGCGGTTGCGATGCCCGTTGATGTTTCCTACCGACTACAACGTCCAGAATCAGAATTCGAACGCATCAACTGAAGTCATTGATCACCACTATTGTAATATTTTTTTGGCGAGGAATACCACTATTGTAATATAGATCCACACCAACTAAAATTCAGTGGAGACAATCAATATTGTCCTGCTGATAGATGCGACAAGATAAAAGAAAACACTCGAGTACAACAGTTAGCATATATAGATGCATGCATTCTGTTTGTGATATTTATCTTTGATGATGAAGGGTTTTTGAAGATGGATTGATTCTTAGATCTATACATTATTACAGTTGAGTAGACGAGGATCATTGGTTATGCTCTGCTTCTATCAGGTCATTTGGCCTCATGGAGTCATGGGCGTGTGAGATTTGGGGGTACATATAGGTCCCAATGTCGGAAATCATCGATCTGAATCAGTGGTGTAGCGGCCCAATAAAACTTGATGGGCCTTGAACAACAGAGCAAATTTGTAGATTGATGTGGGCCAAAGAGGCCCTTTGCTCTACATGCCCACGCTGAACTCCTTTATTTTCATTTCTCTGCCTCTGCAGATAAATAGTAGGTAAGACACTGAAAGTGACCTCCCTTTGCTGCTGGACACCATTATTAGAGCGATTTGCTGGAAGACACTTTGATTCTTGGCAAATTTGCTGATGGACACTCCATCCAATAAAATATTTATTTATAGCTTTCGAGGAGAGAGAAGTGTGGTGAAATGTCCTTTTTGTCCCTGCCTCTTTCTTCCTCCCCTCGCCGAGCCCTCTGCTATCACTTCCCTCTCACCTCTATTTCCTCTGTTTAGATCTGCTGGCAGCCATTGTTGCCCGTGGAGCTCAACCGGCCTCTCTGCGACCTCAAGCACGTGCTGGTGAGCACCTCTAGCCCCTCCACCTTCCCCCTCAACCAATTCTGCCTCCTTCCACCCCTGAAAGCTCTAGTTTGGTTTTGGTGAATTGATGAAATCCTAAGTGCTAACCCTTTTGCTCTAAGTGAATATGAGATAGGATAGCACATTATAAGTGGTGGAGCAAATGGTGAAGATCATGATGGTGGTGGTGGCCATCGTGATCAAGTGCTCTGGCTTGAAAAAGAAGAAAGAGAAAAATAAAAAGCTCAATGCAAATGTGATATCCATAGGATCTTTTGTGTTTTGGTAATCAAGACACCAAGTGGGTGTGATTACATTTAGGATAGATAGCCGTACTATTAAGAGGAGTGAAACTCATATTGAAATGCAGTTATCAAAGTGCCACTAGATGTTCTAACTCATTGCAATTGCATTTAGATTCTAGTGAGTGCTAACACCCTTAAAATGTTTGTGAAAACATGCTAACACATGTGCACAAGGTGAAACACTCGGTGGTTAGCACATTTGATCAAGTGTAGCGAAGTTAGAGAAGAGGTGGCGCTGTTTTTTCATTGATCGGACTTTGGTTCTAGAGTGACCGAACTTGGAGGGGTGCGTCCAGTCATTCATAACAGAGAAGGGCTCGGTCTCGGTGTGAGACCAGACACAGGCGCAAGAAGTAATCGGACGCGATGCTTGTGCATCCGGTCAGGTAATGACGTACACTGATGTGAGCGGTGAAGCGGGGCAGAGGGGAGGGGACGCACGAGAGCATCCGGTCATGGCCGATTTGACGCATTGAAAGGTCCTAATGGCTAGAGGGGGAGTGAATAGCCTAATAAAATTCTACAACAACACTTAACAAAATGTGTTAGACAATTTTGCGGCGAAGCGAGTGTTGCGCTAGCCTACTAAAATGCAAGCCACCTACCACAATTCTATTTTGAATAGTGTATGTCCACACAATAGCTATGACACTTAGCTAAATTAGTGTGCTCTCAAAGACTAACTAAAGAGCAACACTAATCAAACAAACAAGCTCTCACAACTAGCTACACTAAAGAGCTTGATAACTAGTTTCTATGTAATGTAAGAGTGAGCAAGAGAGTTATACCACCGTGTAGTGGTAGGAACCAATCAATCACAATAATGAATACCAATGTAGACCAATCACCTCGGAATCAAATGATGAACACAATGATTTTACCGAGGTTCACTTGCTTGCGGCAAGCTAGTCCTCGTTGTGGCAATTCACTCACTTGGAGGTTCACGCTATTTGATTGGCATCACTCGCCAAACCCTCAATAGGGTGCCGCTTTAACCAACACAAGATGAGGATCACACAAGCCACAAGCAATTTACTAGAGTACCTTTTGGCGCTCGCCGGGAAAGGTCAAGAACCCTCACAATCACCACGATCGAGTCGGAGACAATCACCTCCTCCACTCAACGATCCTTGCTGCTCCTAAGCCGTCTAGGTGGCGGCAACCACCAAGAGTAACAAGCGAAATCCGCAGCGAAACACAATCACCAAGTGCCTCTAGATGCAATCACTCAAGCAATGCACTTGGATTCACTCCCAATCTCACTATGATGATGAATCAATGATGTAGATGAGTGGGAGGGCTTTGGCTAAGCTCACAAGTATGCTATGTCAGTAGAAATGGCCAAAGATGCGAGCTTGAGCCGGCCATGGGGCTATAAATAGAGCCCCAGTGAAATAGAGCCGTTGTACCCCTTCACTGGGCACAACGCGGGGTGACCGGACGCTCCGGTCCGATCGACCGGACGCTGGCCCTCAGCGTCCGGTCACGTGATTCACGCCACGTGTCCCCTGCTTCAAATGCTGTTCGTCAGATTTCAACGGTCGCAAAGCTGACCGGACGCTCCGGTAAAACTGACCGGACGCTGAAGCCCCAGCGTCCGGTCATTTCCAGTAAGCTTCCCAAGGCATGTTTTTTCGACCGGACGCGTCCGGTCCACCTTGACCGGACGCAACCAGCGTCCGGTGCTCAACCCTAGCCACTGTGCCGTCTGACATCTCGACCGGACGCAGCCTTTCAGCATCCGGTCGCTGAGTGACCCAGCGTCCGATCAATAGACCGACGCCAGCATCATTTCGATCAACTCCATTTCAACTCTTACTTCTTCACCCTTGCTCAAGTGTGCCAACCACCAAGAATTTTGCATCCGGTGCAATAGAAAATAGACATTTCATTTTCTCGAAAGCGCCGAATCCCGCCTCGCAAGCTCGGCGGGAGGGAGAGAGGGACCCAAACCCATCTCAACCCTACAAACACCTTGTGCACATGTGGTAGCATATTTACACAAATATTATCAAGGGTGTTAGCACTCCACTAGATCCTAAATGCATATGCAATGAGTTAGAGCATCTAGTGGCACTTTGATAACCGCATTCCGATACGAATTTCACCCCTCTTAAAAGTACGGCTATCAAACCTAAATGTGATCACACTCTCTAAGTGTCTTGATCACCAAAATAAAATATCTCCTACAAGTTATACCTTTGCCTTGAGCTTTTTGTTTTTCT